AAATATATAGGATATTTCGTTTGTTTGAACACACTTCTCTCAAACTGGATTATGTACTTTGACAATCTGCGGCATTAATTAAAAAAACGAGAGAGAGAGAGAAGCCCTTTTTATAGCCAAATTTCATATTACTTATTTGTTTCAGACGTTTTCTGCTAAGAGACTGGGAGACTGATGTTCAGTTCCCAGTGCTGCCACTGACTGGCTACATAGTCCTGGGCAAATCACTTAACCTCCTTGTGCCTCATTTTCCTCATCAGCAGAAATGGAGGCGAGACCCTCCCTTACCTCAGAAGGGCATTGAGGCTGAATTAATTCATATTTTTAAAGCACTTCAGACTTCGGTCATGTTTTTTTAACCAGAGGATATTGATTTTTTTTTTATTTTTTTTTTATTGCGGTTCTTGTTTTAAGTCCCATTCTATGAACAAGCTGCTTTCTGACTGCATGAGGTTTCATTTGATTATTTCTTAACTTGTTAAGGGTCAGCTTTGCAAGCAAAATGACTAGTTGGAGTAAGCTTATTAACCATTGCATACAGTATTTTTTGTCTACATTTTATCCAAGCTGTGCATGGAAATAGAACACTAATTTTTAATAAAATATTCTATTTGATGTTGCTTCAGTGAATCTTCAGTGGTGTTAGTGATATCTATAGCTATATAAACTGGTTCATCTAGCTTTCCCAGAGTACAGAGTGCTTGCTCGTACACTGGTTGGAGGTGCGATCCTCGGCCAAAGGCACCTGCAGCCTGGACATGTAATGCCAGTTCTTAATTCCTGTATTGTCGTGTTGCTGAGCAGCGCCAAACAGATGCTGACTTTATCTGCTACAGTGAGTCCATCTCCCTGCAAATACAAGCTAAGGTGAGTTCTGGGAGACAACAGTTACTTCCTCTATTGGTTGTTCAGGCACAGCTGTGTTTAGCCAGCGTTTTAGACATTGCCCTAAATTCTACCCTTCTGATTTATTTATTTTTTTGAGCTTTTACTTCTGTTTGTGCAGAGGGCAAATTGCTTACTTTCTGGACTGGTTTCAGTGCTTTTTTTTATATTCACAGTCGCTTCCAATACCTAAATGATCAGTGATTTTTATGCCTTTTAGTAGGTAGGGTAGATTTCCACTTTTTATCTACTTAGGTTAGTTTATAAAGCGTAAATCTACTCCGTCTTCTACTTGATTTCAGACTAACATGCCAACTACATCTCTGTTTATGGCCTTTGCCAACATAGGATGTAACCCATGTAGGAAAAACTAGAATATGTGTGCTTTGTATTAGGTGGCATAATCTGAAGCAGGGCTGATTTTTATTTTTTTTAGTTTACCATCTGGTTACTTTATCTGCCTCCTTTGCTGCAGAATTTTTTTCTTTTGAATTATCTTGCCCAGATTTCTTACCTACTTATGTTGGGAATATAGCTGATATGAAAGGAAGAAGCTTTTTCTGCTTTTAATGCCAACAGCGCGAGTTTCGGGTTTCAGACCAGCACAGCCTTTAGTGTATCATTGGTCCAGAGCTTAAGTGATACTCTTTGTCCAGTGATTGTTAGCATCTACCCGAGCTTTCAGAGGCGGTCTCGATCATGACTGCAACAGCCTTCAGTTCTACAACAGTTCATGCTCTTTAGCTACAGAGTGGGTAATGGAGACTTTTCCTAATTGTGGGTGAAACTACACCATCAAGGGTAACGATATATGTTGGACATTATTCCTTTGCATCTCCTGTCTCCTTCAAACTCCCCGAGTTGTGTAACGTAACAGCCAGATTTGAGTGGCTGCCTACTTTCTTTTTTCTTCTCCACCTACACCAACACAGCTTCCATCTGTCACTCCCACCGCTTCTCTGCGCAGCCCAGATCCTCCTGCTCTCAACACGGTGTCCTTTCTGCCAGCTTCCCTGGAATCTTCCATTCCCCTGAACATGGCATCGTGTTACTGGTTGTTTCTACTTTAGACCCAGCTCCACCCAATTATGGTGTGCACTCCCATATCACGTGGAGGATGGATTAGACTAGGCATCCTTGTTAGATATTGTACGTGAAACTCCGTGTCCTACAGGTTCCTGTTTTTGGCCAGATAAGCTTTTCCTACAGCTAGGTCTAGTGGAAATATTTCTACCCTGTTTATTTTAAAGCTTTTTTTAAACACCCCCTGCAGTTGGGCAATCAAAACACTTTCCACTGCCAATTTCTGTGTTGTCCGAGACGATGCTCAAGAGGGGAGCGGCCTTGTGTTGAGGTGGAAAACAACTTTAAACCCAATTGCCAAGGTGTCAGCAAGTCAGGGAAGTACCTCCAGGGACACGATTCCCAGACACACTGGAGTGCGTGGTCATGGCCCATCCTCGGAGTGGGGCTGGGAGCTCTCCACAGACCCTTTAGTCCAGCGGCTCCCAACCCGTGGTACACATACCACCAGTGGCACGCAGAAAACCTGTCCGTGGTACGTGTTAACAGATTCATTACAATTACTTGATACACCACAAATTAGCTGGTGGTATTTAAGCTTATACAGGCAGTCCTCGGACTTACGACACAGTTGCTTCTTGACAACCGCGTCTTGAGTTGAAACATCGTAACTCAGAACCGATTTTTTTCCCATAGGAAACAACATTATAAATGGGGGATTGGTTCCTGAACCAAGGCCTGATACCCTATTTTCACCAAAAATAACCCAGAATTTTGTACTCAATTGATTTATAGATGAGTCATACATTAATGTATTTATATTGTAAATAGCAATCGTATCAATTTGGAAGGACTTCTTTGAGGTGACTTTGGACCTTTTGAAGGCTTCTTGGCTGGACTTCTGGAAGGATTTTTGGCTTGGACCTTTCCGGAGGCCTCTTGGTTGGCCTTTTTGAAGACTTGGTTGGACTTTTTGAAGACTTGGCTGGACTTTTTGAAGACCTCTTGGCTGGACTTTTTGAAGACCTCTTGGCTGGACTTTTTGAAGACTTGGTTGGACTTTTTGAAGACCTCTTGACTAGACTTTTTGAAGACCTCTTGGTTGGACATTTGAAGACCTCTTGGCTGGACCTTTTGAAGGCCTTTTGAAGGATTTTTGGCCTGGACCTTTTTAAAGACCTCTTGGTTGGACTTTTTAAAGACCTCTTGGGTGGACCTTTTTGGAGGTGTCTTGGCTGAACTCAGGAGTCTCATCCACTTCCTTAAAGAAAGCGTCCCGGGAAGCTGGCATGGACGCTCTCCAGGGGAGACGGGCCAGGCAGCGAACTCATTCGCCGGCGCGGCGTCGCATGGAGCACCGTGAACTGGATGCCGATTCAGAAACGGCCCAAGCGCGTGGCATGGAGGAGGGCTGGCAGCAGAGGAGGATGGTGGAGTTGGCACCCTGCCCTCCAGCGGGGGTGCGCCGCAGGGACCCGCCAGGGGGCGCTGGAGGCTCCCGGGCGCGCGGTGCCA